CATCGGGCTCCCTGCTCCTTGGGAGCCTGCTTCTCCCTCTGCCTCTCTCTCTCGCTGTCTCTCATGAATAAATAAATAAAATTAAAAAAAAAAAAAAGAATTTTCCTAACATGGTAAATCAGAAATATGATTGGATCATGCCAACATGAAGCCCAGGGTTCAGCCAAAAAAGAATTGCTTAATTTTGCCTGATACTCTGCACGGAAGAATGTCACTGTATAAATCATCCTTGTCACCATATAAACCATCTTATACAAGGAAACTTGTCCATGAACCTTCACTCTTCATTTTAAGTCCATTTAATTAATCATTGCATTTTTTAAAAAAAAATGGAAGGCATTTCCAATAACATTGTTACTGACTCTTCACTTATTTCTCAGGTCATAATGGTAGATTTTAGTGATTTTTCCATATTTGTCTCTCTTACCTTTGAACTTGGTGGGTGGGTGACGTAGCAAGAGTTGAAGTGTAATTCTGCCAGATTTAGGTTAACTTCCTTGACATATAGAGGAAGAAAATGCCAACAAACACCACCACCATAGGGGAAAACAGCATAGAGCTGGTTATGGAGTTTGAAATCATATAGCTCTAGAATATTTATGTATATGTTCTCTCTGTATTTTAATGATCAAGTGCATTAATAAGCAAGCAATTAGACTCAGAAATTCAAAAATATGTTTGAATAGGACAGAATTTATTTTCTTCATTTTATGTTTTTAATTGAAACAAGTGTATTGAGGATACTATAGTGGTTTGAATTGCCAGGCTAAATATTTTGTTTTCTCATATTTTAAATCTGCTATAGTTGCATATAACTAGAATATATGGCTTTCCTATATTTTCCTACAAAGTCCTGACATTGGCAATTCACATCTTCCTGCTAACAAAAATAAATTAAATCTGTAAGTTATTAAAAAACCAGCAAGAGACTCTAATGCCCACAGGTATGATTTTTGGTTTGCAAATAGACATCCATTTCTGGGACTATTAAACAAGTACGGCCAGTTTAGCCATTAGGCCAGAACAAAACAACAGAACACAGGATGATGTTTAGATAGTTAAATAGAAATAAATTTGGACACATAAGAGTACATAGTCTGGGTTCCCAGACTGATTCATAATTGATAATTCTGTATCTAGCTCTGAACCTCATAATGACAGAGGCTCCAGAACCCCTTATTAGATTCCTAAAAAAGCAGAAGCAGAAATGGTTAAAAGTTAAGAGTGCAACCTCTGAAGAAATAACTTGAATAAGATGCTCTAATCATTTGAATGATTACTCAAAATTATTATGAAGCAAACAACCAAATAGAACCTCTTCCCCCCAAATAATCCACTGATGGGTCAGGTGACACCACTTCCGTGCCATATAATCATTCTAGATTCTGAAATACCTTTATGCAAGTAAAGGTGTCTTAGATTTTTAAAATAAAGTCTTTCCGTAGCAAGAAAACCAATAAAGTGTGATGATTCCAGAGTCTCCTGGTCTTGGTTCCAAGGTCTCTGGACTTTAGCTCCACATCTGTATACTGAAGAGTCACCTGGGGGGAGAATCAAGTGTACTTTCAGCCACAGTTTGACTCCTTCTTCTGCAAAGGTAAAAATAACATTCACTGCCACCAGTAAGACGTTCCCAGCACGCACTGTGAAGTGAGATACACTCTCATACAGGAAGTCCCACCTACTTAGGCGCCCTTTGCTCTTTGCTGTGACTCTTTTTCCCTCCTGCCCTGGACTCCTGGTTCCTTCATGCCCTTTGCAGGAAAGGATCTTACAAATGTATTCTAACTAAACTTTTACAGTAACAGATAAAACTTACTGTGCTCTCTCTCCCAAAGTATATACGTTTTCAATTTTTTTTTTTTAAGATTTTATTTATTTATTTGACAGAGAGAGACACAATGAGAGAGGGAACACAAGCAGGGGGAGCGGGAGAGGGAGAAGCAGGCTTCCCGCAGAGCAGGGAGCCCAATGCGGGGCTCCATCCCAGGACCCTGGGATCGTGACCTGAGCCGAAGGCAGATGCTTAGGGACTGAGCCACCCAGGCGCCCCTATACGTTTTCAAATTTTAAGTTAACAGCACAATTTTGTATTTGTAGAATCTTAGGTATCAGTAACTTGGGGAGAGGAGGGCCTGGGGGATGGAGGGACTGACTTTCAGGACTCTCTTATGCATAATTATTATGTGGATCACACAGGGCCCCTTATTGCTTGATCAACTGTCTTTCAGGAATAGGGTCAGTCCATTACTGTCTTTCTTATCATCATTTGTACATTTTATGTATTTGGGTTGTTTATTTTTCCCTTCAAGTAAATTTGTTTTTGTTGTTGTTTTCCTGCCTTTTTCTGCTTATGGGCAAAATGCTTTTTCAGGAATGAAGTTCCCTTAGATTATAGATATCTTTCAAACGCTGGGGCAGGGTAGAATACAGTCTTCTCTTCCCCCACTCAGTTTTGCAATGACAAAAAATTTAAAGTCGTTATGACATTCTTTTGACTTTGCCATGAGTACTAAAGTCTTCTAAATATTTTATTTTAAAATAAATTGCCATTTTAATGTCAGATGTGGTATGTTTTCGTATGTGGTAACATTTTAAAATGTTTTTTTTTCTTTAAGGATTTTGGGCTCGTGAAGTAGGTAAGATGGTGGGACTAGAACATCCTCTCATTCCGGTCCAGCATCAATATGTTGTTACATCGACTATACCTGAAGTGAAAGCTTTGAAACGGGAACTCCCGGTGCTCCGTGACCTGGAAGGATCCTATTATCTCCGACAGGAAAGGGATGGGCTTTTGTTTGGTCCATACGAAAGTCAGGAGAAAATGAAAGTGCAGGACACATGGGTCACCAATGGAGTCCCTCCAGGTGGGTTCCATAAACGCAAGCGTGTGCAGGTCAGGCACATGTGTTTTGTCTTTTCTGTGGCTGGGGGCTGGCTGTAGATTCAGATGACACCATAATATGAGACTACCGGATACCTGGACTGTGGAGGTGAGCAGTTTGAGGTAAGCTCTGTTCTCATGTCCCTTCGAACAATCACAGCAGAAGTAAGGAAAGAGAAAAGAGGCAGTTGATGACGGAGAAGCTGAAGAAACATATCTTCTGCTGGTTTGGAAGGCTTCAGGTTATTTTTGCCTGCCCACACCAACCTCCTGCCTCCCACTTTTTCCTTAATCCCCTACCTGTTTGGTCTAGTTTTCAGATTTGGGTATGGCTGCTATTGTGTTTTGACAGCTGGAAACAGGACAGGTGTCAGAGACAGGATATCCAGGCTGCTAAGTATGAAAGCCTCAGAGTGCATCACAGAGCAGGATAGGTTGGCCTGCAAACTGAGGCCTTCGCCCACTACGTAAATGGATTAGAAGAGCCCTATGCTAAAGCAGGAGGAACCATAGTTTCTCTTTCCAGTTCTGTAAGGGAGATGGATCTGTTTTTGTTTTTCATGAAACATTTCCACAAGCTAGATTAGAGATAGGTGGTTACATAAGGAGGTAAACAATTAAAACAATCTATAGAAAGTGCTAAGATGTCATTGGGACACTGAAATAAGGGATATAAAGAAATGGAGGAAATTGTACTTTCTAGAATTGTACTTTTGGTAATTATCCTTGGGATAGGGAATGAACCTCTCTCCTGCTCCTCAATCCACCTATGCCCATGTGACAACAGATGATCACTCAGTTGCCTTCCACAGAAGTTCGGCCAGCTCCAGCTAGCTGAGGGCTTTTGTCTTGTTGTGTGGGCTCTGCACATTTGGGCCTGTGTGGAATAGCTCCCGATCTCAGAGGGAGGGCTGATCGCCACCTGAGAGCCTTCCTTTCTGCTCTTCCCTCATGCTGGCAGCCTCTCTTCCAAATAAATGTTGAACAAATATTTAAATAATTGCAGTTGGAGGGAGAGCTGGCCCTGGGTGCATGCATGTCCTGGTCCAAGCCTAGTGGTCTGCGGGCCTCCATGCAACCAACCCAGCGCGCAGTTCACGGGAGAACAGGAGCTGGCTGCCTGCTGTGTGGGAAAGCTCCCAGTACTGGAGGAGAAGTTCTTTCAGAAGCTCCTCTGTGGCCCTGCCTTCAGTCACAGTACCTTTGAGGACTGAGAAAAAGATTGTGTTCCAAGACCCTGACTCTTTTCTCAAAATTCTAGCCCTCAGATACCTGGGGGAGCAGGCTTGAGGAAGGAGGCCTCCATGCCCTTCCTTCTCTGCTGAGAGCTGAAAGGCATCTGGAATCCATTATCCTAGATCCTGGAGTACTTTTCTGTTTATCCCCTGTGTCCTGACATGACTTTGTAAGCTTCCATTTGCCCTTTCCTGGGAAGATAGAATAGACTTTTATGGTGAAGGATAAAAGCTCTGTCTTGACAAACCAATAATTGTTGTTATTTTTTTTTAAACTATGATTGGATTAAATGTTGAAAACTATTAATATACCTAGATTTGAATTTATTACTAATGAAAAAGGTTAACTTTCATGATTTTATTGTTTCAACAAAAATAACATTATTGTTCTCAGTAATGTGATGGGTACCTATCTGTTGATAGTGAATATGAAGTTTAGACTTAAAAAAAAAAAAGGAAGTACCTTCCTACAGACTACCTTTAAATTTCAGATTTAAGTCACTTCAGAGTACATGTCAGGGCAGCTGAAGCATCCTGACCACAATGGTATGTCTATGCAGGGTTTGGAAAGGAGCTCTTTGAGTCTGATCTTGACCGAATCATGGAACATGTTGAAGCTGCCATGGAAATGGTTCCAGTCTTGAAAAAGGCTGACATCATCAATATCGTCAATGGCCCTATCACCTATTCTCCTGACATTCTGCCTATGGTGGGGCCCCATCAGGGAGTCAGAAACTACTGGGTGGCTATAGGCTTTGGGTGAGTATCTCCATTTATTTATTTTTTATTTATTTTTTTAGTATCTCCATTTAATTCAACATTTATTACAGAGGTTTTTTTTCTTTTTTTTAATGGAGTCAAGTATCAAAAAATCTCGGTAATAAAGATTATTTTATTTTATTTTTTTTTTAAAGATTTTATTTATTTATTTGAGAGAGAGAGAATGAGAGAGAGGAGCACATGAGAGGGGGGAGGGTCAGAGGGAGAAGCAGACTCCCTGCTGAGCAGGGAGCCCGATGCGGGACTTGATCCAGGGACTCCAGGATCATGACCTGAGCCGAAGGCAGTCGCTTAACCGACTGAGCCACCCAGGCACCCCTGGAGTCAAGTATTTTAGATAAGTCTTGTCTCATAATCTCAGGCCAAGATGGAAAATAGAGGAGGGGCAGAGAGTTTTCTTCCTTTCATGACCATTAAGATGTGAAGAATAAAATATTTCCTTTTTTTTTTAAGATTTTATTTATTTATTTGAGAGAGAGAGGAGCACAAATGGGGGAAGGGCAGAGGGAGAAGGAGAAGCAGACTCACCTCTGAGCAGGGAGCCCAATGTGGGACTTGATCCCAAGACCCTGAGATCATGACCTGAGCCAAAGGCAGATGCTTAACCAACTGAGCCACCCAGGCACCCCAAGGAATAAAATATTTCAATTTTAAAATCCTTACTGTGGATTATTAATGGTTTAATCACTTGTATAAGTTTTAAAGCTTATCACACAGAAGGGTAATGATTTCCTGGAAACTTCTCTTTGCATATTTCCTGCCATTTCCATTATTCATGTGTCTTTTCATGCTGTATATGTTCAGGTTGGTCAATTTACCCCAATTTCACAAGGATGTTTTTCTAACACAATGTGACAGACATAATTCAAAATATTAAATGAATAACGTATCTGATGCATTTTTTACCATAATTCATGTTTGTCCAACATAATTTGTTTCTTTATGATTCTTCAGGTTGCTTACTATTTATGATTCCATTACCCATTTGATGTTTCATCTTTAATATTTGTCCCATTAATTTAATGAATATTAATGTCAAGCCCACTTTACCATCATATCAGAGCTTCTAATATTCTATTTTTCTTCCCCATTTTATTTGGCCATTTATTCAACTAATATTTAATGATTGCCAGCTCCGTGCCAGGTCTCTTGGTAGGCACTGGGCTACAGCTGAAGACAAGGCAGTGAGGTCTGTCCAGAGGCACAGGGCTCGTCGGGGTGCTGTCTTGACAATACAGTAGAGAAGCTGTGGTCTGAACCGAGGGAGCAGCAGGGGGTACTGAAAGATAGGAGATAAACTTATTTAGACTTGATGATTGATTGCATTAGGTCTTGAGGACAAGAAAAAAATAACAAATGGTGGCAAACTATCTAACTTGACCGCTGGTTGGATGCTGGGGCCATGGGGAGAGAAAACCAGAAAAATAGTGAGTTTCATTTTTGAGAGTTTGGGTTTGAAGTGTTAAGTTTACATCTGTGTGACATCTAGAGGGAGAAAACCAGATGGAGATATAGGGCTGGAGGGCATAAAGTAACTGAGGGTTTAGGTAATCAGCTGCAGTGTGCATATGCAGGTATGTGCATGTAGGAGTGTTTCTCGTACATTACTTGAATATCTTCTTTGGAGGAATGCCTATTCATATCCTTTGCCCATTCAAAAAAAATGATTATTTGTCGGGGCTCCTGGATGGCACAGTCTGTTAAGCATCTGGCTCTTGGTTTTGGGGGGTTGTGATCTCAGGGTCGTGAGATAGAGCCTGCATGGGGCTCTGTGGTAGCGTGGAGTCTGCTTAAGACTCTCTCTCTCCCTCTGCTTGCCCCCCCTCCACACACATATCCTGTCTTTTTCAAATAAATAAATAAATCTTTAAAAAAATTATTTGTCTTTTTATTATTAAGTTGTAGGAGTTCTTTATGTATTCTAGATACAAGTCCTTTATCAGATACATGATTTGCAAATTTTTTCTCATTCTTTGGGTTGTCTTTTCACTTTCTTGATGGTGTCCACTGAAGCATGAAAGTTTTGAATATTGATGAAGTCTAGAGTGTGTATTTTTTCTTTTTTAGCATGTAGTTCTGGTGTCATATATAAGAAACCATTTTATAACCCAAGTTCATAAAGATTCATACCTATGTTTTCTTCTAAGAGTTTTATAGTTTTAACTCCTACATTTAAATCTTTGATCAATTTTGAGTTAATTTTTGTATGTGGTGTGAAGTAGGGGTCCAACTTCATTCTTGTGTGCATAGCCAGTTATCTCAGCATCATTTATTGAAAAGACTGTTCTTTCCTCATTGAATCGCATTGGCTTCTGTGAAATCTTTTTTTCTGACACTACTTCTGATACCCACATCCAATTTTCTAATTCTTCTACACCAACTGAGTATCCAACAATTCAATTCAATTCTGATGCTGACTTCCAGAGTTAGTGCAGATCCCACTGGTTAAGGACAAAACTGTCTCCACTTCAGACACCAATTGCAAGTTCCAGGGATCACTGTACTTCTGACTGACTGACTATAAATGTGGGAGTTCCTACAACCCCCTTTTCAGGTTTGATAACTCACTAGAATGACTCACAGAAATCAGGAAAACACTTTCTTTTACCCATTTGTTATAAAGGATACAACTCAGTAACAGCCAAATGGAAGAGATACACGGGATGAGGTATGAGGGGGAGGGGCAGTTTTCATGCCTTCTCTGGCACACCATATTTGTAGCACATCAATAAGCTCACCAACCTGAAGGCTCTTGGAACTCTGCCCTTTAGGGTTTTTTATGGAGGTTTCATTACATAGGAATAATTGATTAAATCATTGACCATTGATGATTGACCTTTTTTTTGATGATTGAACTTCTTGCGACCAGCCCTATCCTGAAGCTATTTAACCCCCCAAGTACCTCTCACCCCCCCTTGAGCCATCTCATTAGCATACAAAAGACTATGAATTCCAGAGGTTATTAGGAGTTCTGTGCCAGGAAATGGAGACAAAGACCAAATATTTATTTTTTATTATACCATGACATCCTTGTCAAAAGTCAATTCACATTTATGTATGGGTTTATTTCTGGACTCCAATTCTATTCCATTGATCTATAGTCTATCTTCATGCCAGTACCACACTGCTTTGATGACTGTAGCTTTGTAGTAAGTTCTGAAATTAGGAAGTGTGAATCTTTGTTGTTTTTCAAGATTGTTTTGGCTATTTTGGGTCCCTTAAATTTTCATAAAATTTTTAGGATCAGTTTGTCAATTTTTGCAAAGAAGTCACCTAGGATTTTGATAGGTACTGCATTGAATCTGTAGATCAACTTGGAGAGTATTGCCATAACAATATTAAGTCCAATTCATGGACATGGGTTGCCTTTCCATTTATTTAGGTCTTTTAAAATTTCTTTCAACAATGATTTATAGTTTCCAGAGTATAAGTTTCATACCTCTTTTGCTAAATTTATTCCTAAATCTTTATTATTTTTGATTCTGCAATTGACTCAGTCATAGAATTTTTGATTTAGTCAACAACTATTTGTGGATCATTGGCCATGAGCCATGCTCTGAACAAGCAGACAGTATCTCTAGCCTTATTATATTTGTACTTTAATGGAGCATCTATTACTACTCGCCAAGGAAATTAGGAAGTTGCTTTCTTTAGGACACCAGTTACTGATTATCTAGAAATTGTATCTAATTGCATGGGGCTGATGTTGCATTCTTACTCTGATTGTTCTGGGTAATTTTCCCAGATTGTAGACATTGGGAGTTGGATAGGGAAGATGACAGGCGGGGGACCTTCCTCTCTTTGACAGATTTGGTCTGAACCAAAAAGGACTTCTTGTTATCTAAAAGTTGAGATTGCTAGGATTTTTTTTTATGTAATATGGAATGCTCACATTGGCTGCCCCTCCTGGCTTACATCTGTGATCATTCCCTGTTTCTGGAGGCCAGTGGTTTTCATACCTGGTTGAGCAGCAGAATCATCCTATGGACATGTTAAAAAAGAATCTCAACCTTGTGATTAGTCACTTGAATGTGTTTCATCCTCCTTTACATCCTATCTGTGAAATTCCTATTTGTCAGGAGAACCCATGAAGTCGTGTTGAATCAGAAAACCAGGGATCCCAAAAGATTTTATGCAGATCCAGGGATCTGCATTTCAGTGTTGTCTGTTATTCTGGTACAACCATTCCAGAGAATTTGGGGAATTTGCAAACTGTCTACATAAATGCCAGTGTTCTTTTACCTTACTCACAGATTATCCTCAGTCAAGGCTGTTTTACTTTTGTTTTGTCACAATTCTTTTTTTTTTTTTTTAATGTTGCTCTGTTACAACTTAGACTCGGAGTAGTGAAGTCAAAGGGATATTTGAGATAATCTAACAAGCCACTCATTTTCCACTGTGGAGACCAAGGTCCGGAAAGGTCATGTTACTTGGCAAAGCGACACAGTTATATTGGAACCAGGACTTGGACCTGGGTCTTTTGACTCCTGAGTTAATACACTTTCTAACAGGTCATTTACCTGTGAAGTCATTTTCAACTGTCACACATACAGAAGTGAGTTCTTGTGCAAATGAAAATGCTTATGCAGTCTAAACTGGGCTAATAATTTGTATTTACCTGTGGTTCATAGTGGTTAATTTAAAACCTAAAGTAAGCAGGAGGCAGTAGCTGATTTTCTTGTGGTCTGCTCTTTGAGTCACTGCTCAAATTATAAAATGAAAACAATCATTATTTATCAAGTCAAATGATATGCCCTGAGGACAGATCAGAAACAGGGACCCTTAAGTTCTTTCCTCTAAATTGTAACTTTTGATCGATGTTATCTTTTTTTTTTTTAACAAAACACTCAGTGGTTCTAGAAAAGTCATGTCTTCAATATTTAAGAGTTTAAAATAGTATTTCTGAATTATTCTAATCCATGCCCCCCATTGGAAAAGCATAAAAATCTCATGCTTTCTTCAATATCATTTGAAATTCACAATAATGTAAAAGGACTAAAAAATAAACGCAAAGGCATAAAACATTGCTTTGTTTTTGAGCCTCACCCTTCACCCCCCCAATCTCTATCTGAGACCACCCACCCATTACCATCCATAGTGACCACTGATCTAAATTCTGTTAGAAGATCTAAGATTAATCATTCATCTTTTTTTTCCCATGTAGTAAGGACTCTTTCTAATCTTGCAACTTTATGGTCTCACAGATTTATTACCTAAATACATTGGACCGTTTTTAGAGTGATAGCAAACTAAACAAACTAAACAAACACACTCTGACATCCATACCAGCACCCCGGCAGACATCGCTAATTGATCACTGCACTCATCTCTGACGGGCTTGGGCATGCTCCGCTATTTCTCTCAACATAGTGTGTCAGGCAACTACTCCCAACTGATACTTAGAGAAATCATGTAGAAGAACTTATTTAACACATTTATTTATCATTTTCCGAAAATGGTAAGCTTTGATTTACGTAATTCATTACTGCTGTAATAAATTTTTTCTTTACTGTGAGGAATAAGGAATCACTGAATAATTCTCAAGGAGATCTCACCTAAACAGTAAGTTACCAGATGAAGTTGTCTATGCAGCTATGAAATCTTGTGGTGTGATTGGAGGAGGGGAGGGCAATGGCAGGAGGTCCTGGAAAATGGCGCTGGCCTGGGAAAACAAATCCTGGGAATTAGGTTGATGGTGTGGCCCTGCATTTACCACTATGTGGAACCGAATTCCTGGGATTGTTCTCCAGGATGTCCTTCTTTGTCCTTTGCTCTTGGAGTTTTTTTTTTTTTTTTGGGGGGG